ACACTCTAAGTAAAATTTACATATTTTAACACTTTATCAGCCGCACATTTTTCTCATTGCCTTTAAGTTGCCGCCGATGCATGTCGCACAAGTTTTACTGCCCGCTGCCCCTGCGATATTTACGCAATCCTTCATATCGTAATTGGTAATTACAGTAAATTTATTGATGAGAAAAGCATTAAAACCATTATTACTTAATTTTTATTGCATTGCCTTATATTATACTAAATTACTTATAATCGTTTATTTAATAAATTTATAATTTTTTAAATTAATATTTTAATTTGATGTGATAAGTCTCAAAACATTTTTCGAACATTAATGATGTAAAACTTTTCTTCGCAGCAGTACAGATTTCACAAGCCCTTCACGGGTTTTGAATTTTTCAAAACCACACGCGAACAACGGAAGCAACTGTTTTAACAATAACAACCAGTATCTATTAACATACGAACATTGAATTCGCGGGCTGAAATCATTTTTATACACCATCTGACAATAACGGTGCAAAGTCACATTTTCGTGACGCCGGCCGATAACTGCTGGTAAAAAGAAATCACGCCTACGTGACAACGGACGACAAAGTGTTAAGTAACCATTAAGTTGTGATTATCAGTGTTGCATATTTGGACATATAATGACTAAATACAGAAATTGTAAAACATTTTCCCATCACATTTAGTCATTATATGTCCAAATATGCAATTTATGTACATACAGTTATAAATATACAGTCTATTCCACTATAATACGTATTATACATCATAATATATAGAAAAAAAATATAATTTAAGTATGCATTTCTGATTATTTTCCATAACATTTTCCATAACAACTTAATATACTCTGATAAAAATGATTAAAACATTTTCAAGAATGGAAGTTTATGTAAGATTTTAAATACAGAATTTAGAAAATATGAAATAATACTTTTAAAAATGCAAAAAAAATGACTCATTTCTTCATTGAGCAAATAAAAATGACCTGAATTTAATCTTATAATAATTAGATTCCCACTTTTATTTTTTCTGGCAACTGATCCTGTTTAGGACAATTCTAGATATGAAATAGAAAAATAGTATGGAACACAATAAGAATTATTTTCGTATTTTGTATTAACACTTGAATGTAAGTAAACTTTTCATCTAATATCTCATATCAATACGCATAAATGATAATATTTTGCTTCAAATTTCTGTTACAAAAAATTATATTGATTCAAAATTTAATAAGTGTGTTACAGTAGAAAAGACTGTTTTAAAAACAGAATTTTAAAATATAAAAGAATCGAATTAGCAATTTTCATTATATGTACTAGAAAAATACCTCACTGTTTTATGCCAATCCACTGCAAAAACTAAATTTACAATAAAAAACAACAATGAAATGTTAAGATATCACAACGATACAATTACGACGAAATCATTATTCCATTTTAGTACACCATTAGGTTGTAATTTAGTTTTAATATAGTCCAATATTATTCATTTCCAAAGTAAGATCATAAATATCAATCAATCTATATCCTTATTTGAATTGTAATAAAGGAAATAACATCGATTTCACAGTCTTATCAAAACATTCTAGATTATCTCTGTACATATATCGTATCTTATAGTCATTTTTATAATTGTTTTAGTTTATCAAGTAATGAAATAAATCACTGATGAAATATTATATTATAAATACGAGCAATCCCACTTCATGATTTTCAAACTAGACAATCTACCTGTAGGCTCAAACAATATATCATTCAATATCCATTAAAACCTCACATTTATTATATTACGTTACTGTCTTCTTCTATTCAGTTAAAAGTTACTTATGAAATTCGTCAAAATATGTACGACGAGGAGAACAGAAAACATTGGTAAAAAATTTATATTCAATTCTCTCCTTTTCGTAGTAAGTAACAACCACTGCTATAAAACCAAACATAGATTGTAGTACTTTGACTAGCGTATTATAATTATGTCGTGTACGTACGCATTTACATATTTCATAGGAATATTCATTCCATCAATTATTGTTTTATCAATGAAAATTTGACACTAAACACTGACTACTATTGCCATTAATTATCGCCTTGTACTTGCTCATAGTAAAAAATGGTAAGTAAGTGCATCTTATGGAACTGAATGCCTTCTTAATAATTACAATGTTAAATAGTTGAACGGCAGTTACTAGCATAATAATTATGCTAAATAATTGTTATGATAAACTAGATAATGTGGAAAACAAAATAAACTTGAAAAGCTGTTACTTATAATGTATTATAATCAATACATTATTCCTATGTTTCTTTTATAGAAATTTAAAAATAAATGTATTAGATTTGTATAACAACAAAGATTCAAACATGTCAGCATAAAGCGTTTTTTAGTCAAATTTAAATGATATGGAAACACATATTAATTTAATTGTGTAAATTTTCATCTTCAGTCATATTATGAAAATTACTTTTAAATTATAAAATTATTATTACGACTTATTCGAACTACAACATTTTGAACAGTCGAAACAACTGGTATGCTATCTTTTTGAAGACCAAGATGCACGACTACCACTGCTTGCGCCACTTCCAATTGTTTGATTTTGAAGCTCTGTTACTGTGTCTTGCAAGGCTTTCTTCTCCTTTAGAAGCAATTGTATTTCTTCTCGTGCCACACTTAAATGGGATTTTATTATGTCAGATTCTTCTTTTATGCGTATTAATTTGGTATTTTCTTCTGATAATTTTTCCAAAGCATCAAGACGACGTCGAAGCTTTTCATTATCTGACTTTAACTGTTTACTAGACGACCTCAAAATATTTAATTCCATTTCGTGATTTACATTTTGAGCTGTCGGATTATCACTATTCGGTAGTAACACAAGGGAATTGCTGCTGCTCAACATGTTTACTACAAACAGAATTTCTGAATTAAACTAGTAATAAAAAAATATGTGGTGAATTAATTTATAATTTATAAAACATAAAAATTTTGTGCTTTTAACGAATTAGAAAATTAAATACTTTTTTATTTGATGTAGATAGTGAATAAAGAGTATATTTTTGTTATCTACACTATTTGTGAACAACAGCGTCGCAATGTTGTATAATGACATAATAATATTTTATATCTTAATTTTCTATATATTGTTCACTCATGCTATTTCATAAATTGCATACTTTTAAACAATTTTACTAAGCATATGTGATAAAAAAAAATGATTTTCTTTTGATTTGAAATAAAAGTAAAACATGCCTTATTAAGTGCAAATCTAAAAATGTATTTATGTATTATTATATTAGACAATGTTGTTGAAGCAGTAAACTCTACTACTAATTGTCTAATTGTTTCATATTAATGCTCACATTAGAAAGGCCATCTGAATGCACAAAACAATTGCATAATGTAAGGTATTAATTTAAAAACAAATAAAAAATATTTTAATAAATTTTCCACTTGCATATACTTTATAAAAAGCTACTATATTGTAAATTTACTATATTGCTAATTATATTTTCTCTTTATAAATTACAAGTGGCAGGTAATAGAAATACTATTATCATTCTACATTGTTACTTACCTACTGGTTCAATATGAAAAACACCATCTGCATCTCGTACTACTCTAAGTTTTGAAATATTTAGATCTATAGGAATTGGTCCTGGCGAAGTTATATTATTCGGAGGACGATCTTCATTTAAACGCAATGATATACTTTCCAAATACACCTGCAATAAGCATTATAAAATTTCATATTATGTATTACAAAAAATAATTTCATTTGTAAAGCTAAAGCAATAAGTAATAATTACGGTAAATACGGTAAATTTTTATTTACCTGCAATGGTATTGGCTTAGGTATTATTTCATCCTCAATTAAGTCTGTAAGCCCAGTTATTGAACTCATTGACAAGGCCATTGATATATTAGTAACTTTAACTTCTAATTTGTCTTCAAATAAATCCAAAATGCTTTGTTTATTATGCACATCTATGCTGCATGCGTCTACTTCTTGTTCAACCATATTATTTTGATTCTGATTTCGAGACACAGGCATATGTTTGTGATTTATGGTTCGACTCGCTAGAGACAATTTACAAGCATCTGACTTGCATTTTAAATCATGATCCAAACGTAGTTTAATGCATGATCTGCAGTTCGAGTCTGAGGGTAATTCAACCCAACCTCTAGATCGTGCACCAAATTTTGTCTAATAAACAGAAAACGTTAAACGTTAAATTTATATA